TTTTTTCAGTATAAAATACTCTTTTCTGTTCCCTACATCTGGAGGGCAGTATAATAAACTACTGAGAATTCAGAGTCAAAAAACTGATTTTCTGGCCTTGGCAGAGTCCCAGGTTTTCAATGTTGCTTGACTTTCTCTAGGTTTCAGTTTCCTCAATTGAAATGAGGGCTGTCTCAGGTGATTCCATTTTAAATCTTAAAATCTATGCAACTCTATTTATTCTTTAAGACCACCTCTCCCATAAAACTTTCCCCACTGCTTGTGTTAATCTCTTCCTACTCTGAACTTCTTTAAACTTTATTGTTTATATTAAAATTTAATTTACCACTTATAGTGGAATCACATTATTGTCTCTATTAGTTCAAGTATTTCAGTATGTAGGGGTACTGGAAGAAAAGCTATGACAAACCTAGAGAGCATATTAAAAAGCAGAGACATTACTTTGCCAACAAAGGTCTGTATAGTCAAAGCTATGTTTTTTCCAGTAGTCAGGTATGGATGTGAGTGTTGAACCATAAAGAATGCTGAGTGCAAAGAATTGATGCTTTTGAACTGTGGTGTTGGAGAAGACTCTTGAGAGTCCCTTGGATGGCAAGGAGATCAAACCAGTCAATCCTAAAGGAAATCAACCCTGAATAATCATTGGAAGGACTGATGCTGAAGCTGAAGCTCCAATAGTTTGGCCATCTGATGTGAAGAGCTGACTCATTTGAAAAGACCCTGATGCTGGGAAAGATTGAAGGTGGGAGGAGAAGGGGACGACAGAGAATGAGATGGTTGGATGGCATCACTGACTCAATGGACATGAGTTTTAGCAAGCTCCGGGAGTTGGTGAAGGACAGGGAAGCCTGGCGTGCTGCAGTCCATGGGGTCTCAGAGTCCAACATGATTGAGCGACTGAACAACAACAAAAGGGGTGCTGTAGGTGTTTTTCTAGTTTCAAAACATATTTTTCCTCCTTCAAGCACTCTCATTCTTTTGAAGCTCATGCCATCAGACTCTTATTATTAATAACACCTATGACATCTCCAAGTAGTTGTCAATCACTGACTATCTCAAACATTCCCTTGATTCACTGCAGTTCCAACACCTTAGTCAGTCTTCCCCTTTATCTCTCTCGGTGACATCCCCAGATAACTGTCCTCTCTGATTTTTCCATCACCCTGTTTCTTCATCTTTTCCTCTTTTCCACCTCAGAAACTCCCATGGTCATATATTTGCCCTTGCCAACACCATTTTACCACTTTCCAAACCTCTGTTTTAAGCTTCCCTCTCTAGATCACCATCCTCCTACTCTTAGCTTATTACTCTATCATATCTGCCAAGCAATTATTTGACCTCCTGAGAGCTCCAGTCAACAGACACTGTCACTTTAAACAATAAGTCACACCTTCTTGCTTTGCTTTCCTGTTTCTCTGGAATGGGTTTTCTATGCTCTCATTACATCCACTCCTTTGACATCACACTGGTTCACCTTCCCGATACCAAACCACAACCCACCCACCCATGTACCTGTATTCTTTCTCCTCTCTCCTGCCACTGTGGATGAGGTGACCCTACTCATATCCAAGGTAAACTCTGCCATTCAGTTCAGTTCAGTTCAGTCACCCTGTCGTGTCTGACTCTTTGTGACCGCATGGACTGCAGCATGCCAGGCCTCCCTGTCCATCGCCAACTCCTGGAGCTTACTCAAACTCATGTCCATTGAGTCGGTGATGCATCCAGCCATCTCATTCTCTGTCATCCCCTTCTCCTCCTGCCCCCAATCTTTCCCAGCATCAGCGTCTTTTCAAATGAGTCAGCTCTTCATATCAGGTGGCCAAAGTATTGGAGTTTCAGCTTCAGCATCAGTCCTTCCAATGAACACCCAGGACTGATTTCCTTTAGGATGGACTGGTTTGATCTCCTTGCAGCCCAAGGGACTCTCAAGAGTCTTCTCCAATACCACAGTTCAAAAGCATCAATTCTTTGGTGCTTAGCTTTCTTTATAGTCCAACTCTCATATCCATACATGACTACTGGAAAAACCATAGCTTTGACTCAGGGTCTGCCCCTAAGATCATGGTCTCTCACCTTTTTTAACACTTTGCTGTCCTGCAATTATGTTCCTTTCTCCTGCATCACAAGTTCTCTCTTGACGTAGAATTATCATCATTTAGCAAATCAGTATGTTCTACTAGTATGTCTAATTAAAACAAATTTTTATTGGCTGTGCTGGGTCTTAGTTGCAGCACACAGGATCTTCACTACCACATATGGGATCTTTAGTTGAGGCAAGTAAACTCTTAGTTGTGGCATGTGAGATCTGGCTCCCTGACCAGGGATCACACCTGAGACCACTGCACTGGGAACTTGGAGTCTTAGCCACTGGACCACCAGGGAAGTCCCTACTATGTCTAATTTAAAACAAAACCAAAAACCTCTCACTTAGTAACACCCCTCCCTCCACCTGCAGTCTTTCTTCTTTATTTTTTCAACAAAACTCTTGGTTACAGCTACCCATTCCTGCTGCTGCTGTTGATTCCTCCTTATCCATTCTATACATAGTGGCTCCAGTTGACTTTGGTCTTCTCTGTGCCTTGGGGTTGTTGTTGTCTAGATCACCAGTGACCATGATCATATCCAATTTCATGGTTATTTTTATCTTACTCAACTTTTCAGGGGCATTTAATATATTCAAAACACTTAGTGATTTTCACACTCCCATTTTTCACCTATTTTGCTGACTTTTTCTTAGTTGCCTTTACTGGCTCCTTCGCTGCCTGATTTTACATTCTCAAGTTTGCCATAGGGCAACGGTTGTCAACGCAAGATCCTGTATCAGTGACATCAGCATCACCTGGAAACTAGTTGTAGCTACCAGTTCTCAGCCTCACAACTGGTCACATTAGTTAATCCAGGAATCCCCTTGATACTTCTTCTGTTTCAGCCCCATGTCCGATCAAGAAGCAAGCCCTGCTGGCTCTACCTCTGATACCCACACACACACACACACATATACACTGGGTATATTTCCAATTAATTTGCTTCTCACCACCTCTGTCTTGAGCCCCTAGTCCAGGTCTCTGTCCATGACCACAAATATCCTCTGTTGCTTCCTCTCTGCTTCCATTTTCTCCAGTCCTCCCGTTTCCCTTCTCATGAGCCATTGTCCACACAGTTGCCAGAGGGATCTTTTTAAAACATAAGCTTGTCATATAATGACCCTGCTGCTCAAAACCTTCCGGTGGGGTTTGACTACAACTCCTCTTAGAATGATAGCTCAGTAAAGAATCCACCTGCAAAGCAGGAGACCCTGGTTTGATTTCTGGGTCAGGAAGACGCTCTGAGGAAGGGATAGGCTACCCACTCCAGTATTCCTGGGCTGCTCTTGTGGCTCAGCTGGTAAAGAATCTGCCTGCAATACAGGAGACCTGGGTTTGATCCCTGGGTTGGGAAAACCCCCTGGAGAAAGGAAAGGCGACCCACTCCAGTGTTCTGGCCTGGTGAACTTCATGGACTGTATAGTCCATGGGGTCGCAAAGAGTCGGACATGACTGAGTCATTTTCCCTTTCACCTCTTAAAATAAAACTCAAAACTCCTCACGGGATCTTACTACTGCCCCTCTCTCTGACCTCATCTTCCTCTGATTGTTCCAATGCCCATTTTCTTCCAGGTCCGTGCCTTCTTTTTATTTCTATTTCTTCTCCTCTAAGGGCCTTCATGTTTGCTGTTCCCACTACCTGGAATATTCCTTTCCCTCATTCTTTGCATGGCTGCCTCCCTCTTGCCTCTGTTGTCTCAGCTCAAATGTCCCTTCACAGAAGGGCCTTCTAACCCTCTGAGTGGTATCTCTCTCCTCAGATACTCACCATACGTTATAGTGTTACATTATGTGACACCACTTAATACCATCTGAACTTATTTGTTTACTTATTGTCTAGGTCTGCTCATAGTATGTTCAGCTGCATAGGACATTGGCTTCTTAATTGCTGTATTCCCATGCCTAAAACAGTGCCTGACATTCAGTAAGTGAAGTGAAAGTCACTCAGTTATGTTTGACTCTTTGCCAGCCCATGGACAGTGGCCTGCCAGTCTCCTCTGTCCATGGTATTCTCCAGGCAAGAATATTGGAGTGGGCTGCCATTCCTGTCTCCAGGGGGCAATGAGTAAGTCACCTCCTAAATGAACAAACCTCACAGGAGACATAAGATTAGAATCAGGAAAGCAAAAGGGCTTGCATAAAGAAAATCTCTTAGTTCTGACTCATAAATGAAACAAGATGTTGCTTCTGTAAGAGGTAACTAAGACCCATCAACTGATCCTCTCCTCATTTTCAAAATGGAACATGCCCACAGGAATCAGGGAGTGCAAATTTATCTAGACAATTTAAATTATCCCTCCTTCCTTCCTTTCCTTTCTCCTTCCCTCTCTTTCTCCCTTCCTTTCTTTCTTTCCCAATCATATTTAGTTCAGCTGGCTTCAGTTAAATCAGTGTAACATGACTCCACAGGAACTAGAAACTATTCTGTGGTATTCCACACTTGAGTTTCTGCTACCCCAATAAGATGACACGCTGTATAAGACAGATGTTTCTCTTCCAGCACCTGTAGGCCAAAGAAGTATTGAAATCATAGGTAAATCTAAGTCCAACTACCAAGCCACTCATGGCTCAACAAAGCTACTGGGTTCCTGACTTTCAGTCAATTACACAAACTCTTAGAACCATGAGGCATAAAATAATAAATGAATCAAAATAAATTGGAGAAATAAAATAATGAATCTCAAAAATGTGTCATTTCTTTCCTTCAGTCTGGGACTTGTAGTCATTCTCAAAATATTTTTTGAGATACTCTGATGTGCTTAGAAGCCTTACAAAGTCCTGCAGGTTCACAATCCATGACACACTAGGATTTTTTCTGTAACTGCCAACCATGCCCTGAGGGCCATCTCCTGTACTCCAAAAAGACATGATGTTCAGTTTTGAGAAGCAATGAGATAAAGCAATAGACTGCCATACCTTTGATAGTTAAGTTTTCAGTTTGCTTTTGGCTAGCAGGTTCCTTGGTATCCTCAAGGTTCTCTGATTTTGAAACACTAAATGTATCTGAGGATTCCTGTTTTGACACTTTATTTTTCTGGGAATCTGAAATAACAAACCCAAACAAATAATTTAAAGTGATATTTTGGACAATGATACAATGACTACTAATGTGTGTATTACAATGAACAAAGTGCTTTCCCCCCAACCTCTTTAAAGAGAGTAAATGGAAGCAAGCCATTACGAGCCAGGATTTTTCATTATATGATACAATGCTTGCCATTAACAAACAGGACAGTATCTGTAAGACTCACTCCCAAGGAGCTAGCTGGTTCTTTCTGGGCCTTATGACCAGAGAGCAGTTGTTATCTTGGGTTATGAAACAGAGACCAGGTAATTTAACCTACTTTTACGTGGCAAGAGTAACTGAATTGTCATTTCTTTTTTAAAAAAATTTCCAATCTTAAGTCCATTTATTACTCTGAAAATGTAGCTCTGTATTAAAATGTGCTCTAAGACATCAGTGCAATATGAAACAAATTTTAAATATATACATTTCAAGGACTGAGAATGCAAATACACTTCAACTTATGTGTGTGCCAACCCTAGTTAAATGGTGGCAACTGCCTGAAGGACCATGCTGAAAATATTGTGGCCTTGGCCCCCTTTCAATGGAAAGATAGGCTTGACTGGTTAGTGTCATCTGCCCAGGGTGGCTTTATCCCTGACTGGGCTCCATCACATCTATGAGTCCTTGTTCCAGCCTTAATCTTTGCTTTGCAAATGCTGCAGTAATTAGGTATTTTCCTTGGCTGTCCTCATTCCAGGCAGCTGAGCTCATGGTATTGCATTGTACAGCAGAAGATCCCTCTGTTTGGTTATTTTAACAACCCAGTTTATTCAAAAGAAGAACTAAATTTCATTTCATCCCTAAATTCCTCAACATGTATCTCCTGAAATGAAGACATGTCCACTACATGTTTACAACACCATCACCATACCCAAGAAAGCTTACAGTAATCCCACAATACCCTTTCATACAGTCCCTAAATCAGACTCAACTAATTGCTCCAAAATATCTTCCATAGCGGTTTCTTTCTCAATCCAGCATCTAATATGTATGTATTACAGGCAGTTTTCAGGTCGCTTTTGTCTCTTTTAATATAGAACAATCACCTCATCTGTTAACAGTTTTAAAATGCCATTGACTTCTTTGAAGAGCTCGTCAGTTGTCTTGTAAAATGTCTACATTCTGGATTTCTTGGCTTTTTTCCTTTTGATGAAATTCTGGTTAAAGATTTTTGGCAAGAATTCTACACAGGTCCTAGGAACTCTGTATTGTGCTATATGAGAAAACACTTAATGCTAGGTGGTCTTGCAAGTGGTAGGAGCTTGATCACCTGATTAAGGCTGAGATGCCATCTTTCTCCATTAATTCACCTTATAATTAGTAGGCAATATGCGAGGTGATATTTTGAGACCTCATGAATGCCCCATTCTTCTACAACCTTTCAATACTCCCATGATTTTTATATTTAGTCAGGTCTTCTTAATACTTTCAGGCAAATTTTAAGCATACCGGATGAAAACTAAATTTTATTTACAGCTTAGCTTCCTCATATAACTCAGCCAGACCTGTAATACACAGGTCACAGTGGGTTCTATCATTAGCTATTACTGAGACAAAAAGTGGTAGGAAACTGGCTATGTTCTACATGAACAGGAATAAGAGCTATGTGAACACACACCTGGAGGAAGACTGGATGTATCTTGAGCGGCTTCTTTGCTTGCATCCTCGTCTTTCTTTGCAAAAGGAGGCAAGTTTTTGGAAAGGGTGTCCAGATAATTAAACTTAAAGGAAAAACCAAAGACTTATTTTAGACTTAACTCATGGCTGAAAGGCAACTGCTACAAGCACACTGAGTTGGTGAGCGGTGATTAAAGCATGTTTTAAATTTAAGGCCCTGGGAAAAAGGTTTGTAAACCACAAGTTTTTCAAGAGAGTAACTTAATTCTAGATTTTGTTCCCCATGATTTCCCGTATTTTCTTGTCAGGCCACCTGTGGTAAATGATAGCATTTGGAATTTTCACAGAAGCACAGGGAGTTCTGAGCAGATGACAATACTCCTTTTGCTTTAGAGTTTCAAGATTTCATAGAAGAGGTGAGGCATATTCTCCTTCCACAGACTTCACAGAACTCATAATCTCCTAGTGTTGCCTCAGCAGCTGATGAGTGAGGACATTTTAATAGAATAAAAATTTCAAAATGGGATTTATCGGAGAGTAATCATCAATAGGGAGAATTCAGTCCCCCAAAATGGCTTAAAATAGAGGTGGGAGAATGTAATTAATAGCGCTAATGCAAGGCAGGGAGGTGGAGCTATAGTAATACATTGGCAAAGAACTTTCTGCTCATATGCTTGTGAAAACATGGACTTGAAGAGTATGGGCTAGTCAGTTGGGTTGATGGTTGAAGCAGGGAAGAAACAGAATCACGAGAGGTAGGTTAAATTAATAGCATAGGTGTTGTATCAATTCTTATGAGGACTCATTCAATTACATTCAATTACCTGAGACTGATAAAGCTGGCTCAGTTCAGATTTGAAGTAGGGCGATACTACTTTGCTCCTAATTTCCTTTAGATAGTTCTGTGTTTTTTCAATTTCCTTCCTGGTAGATATTTCCGTAATGATGCAAAAGATGACAAAGAATATTTTAAAATGTTATTTGCTTGTGTTTCAGCTCTAAATCCCACAGAAAATGCAGATCCCTAACAGTAAAACTGATAAGAATTAACTCAGGCATTTTTTTTTTCTGTCAAATTGTTTTAGTTCATTTTCTGCTTCTTCTAGAATCAGTCACATTTCCTACATTGGAAATTAGACTTTCATGTAAGCTAGGAAATGATGACACCAGCTTGTAGTTTGGTTTTACAGTTGATCTCAGAAGGCTACAAACCACATGTTGACCTTTTTGCCTGTCTTTCCAGTTCTCTGAAGTTTAATTGATAGTTAAATTCTACTGATTTCCAAAATTTCAGTAGCAGTGGTAATATACACAGAAACTTGGGGAATGAATGGCTTATGAATAATAAGATTAATGATCACAAAGTAAAATAAAAACAATCACAATAATCCTGCTGGCCATCTTTCCAATACTAGAACCTGTATTGGGGGGAAGGGAATGGTCTAACTAAAAAAGCTAAAAACTATACTTCCCAGCCTTCCTTAAATATACAGATAGCCAGTAAGATGCAAACTGAAGTCTCTGGGTAGGACTTCAGAAAGCTTTCAGAGAGGTCTCAGTTGGAAGGTTTTCCCTTTGCCCTTGCCTCAACTCTTCTACTATTTAGAATATGAATGAAATGGCTATAGTTGCAGCAGTCATCTTGCAACTATGAAGCAAACTTGAGGATGGAAATCATGTGCCAAGAATGATGAAACAGAAAAAAGAAAAGAATCTTAGTTCCTGATGGTATTGTGGCACTGCTTGCCAGGGATTACCCACCTCTGACTTCTTTTACCTTAGGAAAAATAAACTTCTTTCTTGTAAAAGTACTGATTGGGTGGTTATTTGTAAATGTAGCTGAACCTAACCCCATCTGAAATAATTTTCATTTTTCAGAGCTTATTGCATGCCAGGAAAACTTTGCAAAGTACTTTACATTTACATTTTATTTATCAAAAAAATCAAGGCATATAGAAGTTAAATGTGCATGTAAGTTTTAGCTGCTAGGTTGTATCTAACTTTTATTGCAACCCCGTGCACTGTTGTCTGCCAGGCTCCTCTGTCCATGGAATTTCCCAGGTAAGAATACTGGAGTGCTGCCATTTCCTTCTCTAGGGAATCTTCCCAACCCAGGGATAGAACCCAGGTCTCCTGTACTGTAGGCATATTCTTTATCACTGACCCATCAGGGAAGCCTGCATAGAAGTTAAGTAACCTACCCTAAATCATGTCACCAGTAAGAGGTGAAGTCTGAATTAAAACCCAGGGGGTACGCCATTAAGTCAGTGATCTTGATTAGTGCCCATGCAAGTCAGCTGTTAGTGAACTAACAGAGGTCTTAGACAATAGGCAGTCTAATCATCCTCATTTTATAGATAAGCAAATTGAAATCCTGAAGTCAATTTTACTGAAGTAAAACAGCCAGCTGGCATCATACAGTCTGCAGATAATCAAATGGAAGACCTTACTCCAGATAATCAAATGGAAGGTCTGATTCTAGGTCTGCTGCCTTTAAGACTAGTGCTTTTTCTCTTATACTAGATGGCCTCTCTAGAAATACTGGCTGAATGGAAATTGTCTTATTAAACAACTTGAATTTCTCTTTAAATCTCTACTGCCTCAATGGATTCATTCATCAATCTATGGCAGTCTAGCTACTGCTTACCACTCTCTTAAAACTGTTCTCACAAAAGAAATCAATAAACCTTCCAACTGATAAGCCCCAATTCCTCTTTTCATTTTCCTTTCCAATTCTTCCAGAGCATCTGTCATTTGTTGACCACCTCCTATATCCTGGAAACTTTCTCCTTCCTTCACCCTCATCTCCCATCCATTTTCCATGTTGTTAGCCCTTCTCTTTTCTAGGACATGTATCTAATTCCATGTTGCACCTTCTTCTTCAAAAACGTTTGTTGGCTTGCCATTACCTAGCTATGGGTTAAAATAAAAAATGTTAAATATTTCAAAAAAATTTAAATGTGAATGGATAATGCATACACGTGTACATAAGTAGAAAAGACTACATAATGGAAAGGAAGTTCATCTTACACTGTCCCCTAACCTCTCAAACTCCTTCCCCACAGACTCTGTCACCAGGCTCTTGGAAATCCTTTCAGGGATATTCTATAGGACAGTATATATCTTCTAGTTTTATAGGGGGGTGGCCCATGAGACCTAAGGTCTTATCTCACCACTTCTCCAACACATTCCACAACCCAGACGTTTTTATTAAGAAGCATATTCATCCTGGGAGCCATTCTGGAGAGCAGCCATGCAAATGTGTACAATGGCACAATATGTACAACTGTATACCCAATACATATATCTGGCTTCCTTTCTTTAGGACGAGAGGGCTGGGGTTGGAACCCTCGGCTAAGACTGAAAGGCAACCAGCACGCATAGTGCTTAGAGCACATTTCTCATGTGCATTATAAGAACTCTTGCGAGTTTATGACTATGCTCTGCATTAAGTTCTAGAATATTTATCAATAAAGTAGAATTACCAAAGCACAGGGAATACATGAGAGCTTTCTTGCTTACGACAGAGAGAGGATCTACCTAATGCTCAAATGGGTTTCCTCAAAGGATTACAACATCATTGCACAAACAATGAACGACCATTGGGCAGAAATGTGTTAGCAGAGATTTTAAGAACAGTGGGAGCCTGGATGGTAGGACCCTGCAAGCCATGCCATCCTAGAATTCCATGACTCCACAGAGCTGGGCCTTTCACATGCTCATGCAGACTTCAGGAGAGAATTACCTCTTTTCAGCTAACTTTTCTTTCCAGTGCTTTGTTGTCTCTGTGTGCCTGTATAAAAGGAAAGGAAAAATACCATGAAAAAAGGCAATGCTCTCAGCTTACAGACAACAGAAGAAAAACTACCCTTGCAGGATAAATTGTTGACAGCGTGGAAGATGAAAGGCTAAGAATTCCTAGATATTGTCACCCTCAGTATTATACTCTTATCTCCCCATTTCCTCCTCATTTCCATAGTACTGGTTGGAACACATTGTTGGATCAGCTTACCTCAATTTCTTTTCAAGGAAATCTGTCTCAAAGGTTTCTGGTGGACATTCTGTAGCATTAGCCAAAGACTGCTTAAATAAATCAGCTAGGTGGGCTGCAACTTTAAAAATAGATGGATTTAACTTTTATCCTCACTTCTTGACAGCACAACACACAACCAACACTCACTCATCTGAGATGTTTTCTAAGAGCCTATATTTAGCTTCTCAAGTGTTTACTAGAATTTCCATGGCCAAGTTATAATATCACAGGAAACGAGGTAGCTCTATGAAATATCCCTCTAGAAAACACACATCTTAGAATCAAAATGTAAAATGTGGCAAACTCTTCATCTGTCCCACATCAACAGGGGAATCAGTGTTCTACCTGAGTTTCTTCACATCTGGAGCACCAAAACTCCCCCAAATTAAATATCTTACTGAATTTGTTTTTTTAAAAAGATATCTTAGGGTCTGAACCCAAGAATATGAATACAATATGATGGTTGTTTGATAATTTGGGCAGTGATTCTCAGAGGTTATTCCGCAACATGGTCTCAGCAAGATGTTAACAGGAGATTAAAAAAAGAAAGGAAGGTTCAATATCCCATGGTTTTATGAGTTTAGGAAATACTGATTTATACAAGGTTAAATATGTTTCATTACTTTAGGACTTTTCTGAACCCTTAATTAGTTCATGTACCTTGTGGCTAAGGAAATAAGGCGTTATGCAGCAGTATCCAAACTTATTTTATCATAAAACTCATTTTTCTCTGGGACCATGTCATAGACTAGTGCTTTAGGAAGTACTTTGGGGACCAGTGACTTAGGATCACCACTATTAATGTGTCAGGGCAGCTGTAAATATGCAAGACTGTTGATTCCTGCATTTGTTTGTCTGTTTGAAAAATACATTTGGTTCATCCTTCACTAATGGGCAACTGGTGCATTTACCTGTTCACTGATTGTTCCCTCACACCAGAGGTTAAAAATTTAAATGCTACAATGTAGGGTTACCAGTGTAGGACATCTAGTCAAATTTGAATTTCAGAGACGCAATAACAGTTTTTTTTAGGATAAGCGTGCTCCTTGTTATTTTGGAACTGGCTCATAATAAAAACATATTTGTTGTTTCTCTGAAATTCAAATTTGACTGGGTCTTCCGTATTTTTATTTGTTAAATCGGGCAACCCTAATGTAAGAGGCCACTGACAAAAAGAGCGACAACAGACTGTAAGGACCAGGAGACATTGGGGGTTTTGGTGGATTCTTTTGTCCATGGCAGTCCTGGACTGACAGCTGCTAATCATCTTCAACTACATATCACTGTATGGTAGAGGAAGACTCAGATATACGAAACAACAAACACAACTGTGCAAGCCAACACCATGCAGGACACGCAAAACACATCTGTGGGCTGCATGGAGCCCATGGCTGCCAGTTTATGACTTTTGTCATACAGTCAAAAGAGAAAAGAAAACCCCAAACCACAAAAATCCTCCACTGCTTATCTCCTATGAACTATGAAACTAAATAACCGAGTTCGCTGGGGCTGTATATAGCCCCAAATAAATTGCTTTCCAAAAGTAGACTGCTTGGGCTACATGTAGTATAGAGCCCGGCAAGGTTTTTGTTATACCTATGTAGTTGCTCCAAAGTTTTGTGGATGTGTCTGTGTGTGTTAGGGGTAGAGTGTTATTTGGTTGACTGCTTCCTTCCTGGATGTTTCCTATGTTCTAAATACAAGTTGAGACTAACTTAAAAGTCAAATGTCAACATTTTTCACTCAACATGTGATAAAAATGAATTTGAGGCAATCATGGTTTTCAGACTCTCACAATTTAGACAGGAAAGCATATAAACAAGTCATTACAATACAACATGGCCAATATGCCAACAGTAATATGTATATGCTACTTTGCTATCAGATGAGAGAATAGCTGAGAAGTGTATTTAAGATTACTCCTTTGAAATCTATAACTATTTTACAGAAAAATATTAAATATAATTACCTTCAGTAACATGACTTTTTGTAGTTTCCTCCATTTTAGGGAAAGACTGAAATGAAGAGAGAGCTCCTTAACATTAATTATTATATTACATACAAAATTTACTTTGTTTAGAAAGATTCTTCTTTATGTATGCAAATTGATCTTTTATGGAAACTACTGTAAAATGAATTCGTTTTTAATGCTGATACAAAAAGTGATTTTTCCTTTAGTCATTTCTTTCATTTAGCAAATTTCTAAAAGTGAAAATCATTCTATACTTCAGTGCAGAAATTGCTTTTTCCTCCTTCTTCCAATTTCAACTTTTATTTAAGAGCCTTCAGAATTATTTATGAGTTAACGAAGAGACTAAAAAGCATCATATTGGGATTCCCTGGTGGCTCAGATGGTAAAAGAATTTGCCTGCAATGTGGGAGACCTGGGTTCAATCCCTGGGTCAGGAAGATCCCCTGAAGGAAATGGCAACCAACTCCAGTATTTTTGCCTGGAAAATCCAATGGATGGAGGAGCCTGGCAGGCCAGTCCATGGGGTCACAAAGAGTCAGAAACGACTAAGAGACTTCACTTTCACTTTCTTTCAAAAAGTGTTTACAAAATGTGGTACATATAAGGAATCAGGGTCCTACAGAAATATGAAATTATAAGGAGGGAATAAAAGCTTCATAAAAGTGACAGAAATAGCTGTTATTTACAATATTTTGTCTTGATGCATTGAATATTGAAACAAAAGTAAAACACACTGGAATAGAAAACAATTTCTCACCATAACCAGCTTGAGGAGATCTGCAGCATTGCCTCTCTCCTCCTCAGTTCTGGAATCTTTAACTGTCATTTCCTGCAACTCATCTTCTTTCTTTAGAATATGGTTTATATAATCCTAAATCAGTAGAATAAAACAAATCAATAAAACACAGAAGTATGATAGAGATACAAAATAGTTAACATCAACTGGAAATATTACAGAAGGTTAAGAATATGTAAGTTTACAATACTCAGCAACCAGCTACTAGTCAAGCAATCTGGAAAGGCTTTTCCTTAATACGTTAATAAGCAAAGACCCAAAAAGCTCAAGAGTAAAGCTATAAGAGCCATAGGCCATTCGAATTGTCTGAAGACCTCAGAGAAGCCCAGCTTCCCACTCAGCGTCCTCATCAATAAAATGGACAGAGTTGGGATAGGTGATTTCTAGAGTCCTCTACAGGTAGAGTCTCTAAGATGATACTTATGAATGTAAGTTGCTCAGTTCATGCCTTTGCTGAAAACCATAAATACTTGAATTTTCATGAATAACGGCCCCCTGCGGTATGCCAGGTATAGATATATAACCGTAAACTAAACACATCTGACACATATTCTGAGAGCATTGACACACCTGACAGTGAGACGTTACAGACATGCTTACACAGTGAAATACATATTAACAAAATCTCAGGTTGTTTCCAAAGACTAACAAAATCCTTTTCTTCCATGGAAGCATGAAGATTATTCAGGGAATGCCATTGCTTCCCATTTTCAACCAGTAACTAGTTGCCACTGATAAATAGACAGCCAGCAGTCTGTCAGAAATGCTCAAGAAGTGTTATGTAATACAATATGCCTGGTCACAGAAAGAGAAAAACTAGGAAATAACTTACATTATGGACAAGTATCAGGTTAATATGCAGTTCTACCTTTTTCCTGAGGTTACTAGATCAGTTTTCCATAGAGTGAGAAAGGAGGACAACGATATTGCAATCACATTTAACAGATACTTATCTTCTCAATGTCTTTGGAGCCTCAATACTTCCTCTACCTTATGGGAACCATGAAGTATTTTCCATCATTCAACCTCCTACCCACTAGAAGATTGGCAATCATGTGTTGCATTAAATAAAAATTGGTAAAATTCCGTAAGTCCAGGTTCCTTAGGAAACCAAGAGGAATGGTTGCCCTGGTCCTGATTCTTTTGGTCAGGTTACCTGCAATCCATTACCTTCAGGGAAATCTGCAGTTTCAGTTTCACCTCATTCCTTATGACCTCATGCTGGATGAACTGGCGTATCTGTAGCACATTGGGGCTCTTCAGTATAGGGGCTGGAGTGTTCACTAACTGTTTGGAGCCAACGTCAAGGCCCTTCCAACTCTGAGTGCCAAACGGAGGTCCTGGAGTTTTTTTCTGTTACCAAAATAAGCAAAACCACCATCAAAGAAATGAGTATGTTTTAACATTAGATTTTTTTCTTCCACTGTGCACTTACTATGTAGACACTATGCTCAAACTACCACACAATTGCACTCATCTCACATGCTAGCAAAGTGCTGGTCAAAATTCTCCAAGCCAGGCTTCAACAGTGAACTTCCAGATGTTCCAGCTCTTCCAACTGTCTAGATGTTCCAACTGTGAACTTCCAGATGTTCCAGCTGGATTTAGAAAAGGCAGAGGAACAAGAGAGCAAATTGCCAACATCCATTGGATCATCAAAAAAGAGAGAGTTCCAGTAAAACAGCTACTTCTGCTTTATTGACTACACCAAAGCCTCTGGCTGTGAGGATCACAACAAATTGTGGAAAATTCTTAAAGAGATGGGAATACCAGATCACCTGACCTGCCTCCTGAGAAATCTGTAAGCAGGTCAAGAAGCAACAGTTAGAACTGGACATGGAACACCAGACCAGCTCCAAATCAGGAAAGGAGTACATCAAGGCTATATATTATCACCCTACCTATTTAACTTATACGCAGAGTACATTATGAGAAACGCTGGGCTGGATGAAGCAGAAGCTGGAATCAAAATTTCCGGGAGAAATACCAATAACCTCAGATATGCAGATGACACCACCTTTATGGCAGAAAGTGAGGAAGAACTATAGAGCCTCTTGATGAAAGTGAAAGAGAAGAGTGAAAAAGTTGGCCTAAAACTCAGCATTCAGAAAACTAAGATCATGGCATCCGGTCCCATCACTTCATGGCAAATAGATGGGGAAACAGTGAGAGACTTTATCTTTTTGGGCTCCAAAATCACTGCAGATGGTGACTGCAGCCATGAAATTAAAAGATGCTGGTTCCTTGAAAGAAAAGTTATGATCATCCTAGACAGCATATTAAAAAGCAGAGACATTACTTCGCCAACAAAGGTCCAGCTAGTCAAAGCTATGGTTTTTCCAGTAGTCATGTATGGATGTGCGAATTGCACTATAAAGAAAGCTGAGTGCCGAAGAATTGATGCTGTTGAACTGTGGTGTTGGAGAAGACTCTTGAGAGTCCCTTGGACTGCAAGGAGATCAAACCAGTCAATCCTAAAGGAAATCAGTCCTAACTGTTCATTGGAAGGACTGATGCTGAAGCTGAAACGCCAATACTTTGGCAACCTGGTGTGAAGAGTTGACTCATTTGAAAAGACCCTGATGCTGGGAAAGATTGAAGGCGGGAGGAGAAGGGATGACGGAGGATGAGGTGGTTGGATGGCATCACCGACTCAATGGACATGAGTTTGAGTAAGCTCTGGGAGTTGGTGATGGATAAGAAAGCCTGGCGTGCTGCAGTCCATGGGGTCATAGAGAGTCAGACACAACTGAGTGACTGAACTGAACTGAGACATTATATGCTAGGAATCTCTCATTAGTGAACACAACAGTGAAAAAAAGGGATCCCTGCTTTCAAAAAGTTTTGCAAATATAAGGAAAATTGGGAATGAACTGGAAAAGTTTTCCTCTTTGTATGTGTTACCAAAAATAAGGGCATTTTAAAATCCTGTTGCCTGATGTCCTACTGGATAGCATTTAAGGGGATACTAAGCCAGGCTGTTGCCATGGTGATGCAGCAGAAGCCTTGTTTATGCCAAATGCATGAGACTACCTGGGCTTCCCCGGTGGCTCTAGTGGTAAAGAACCCGCCTGACAATGCAGGAGATGCAAGAGATATCGGTTGGATCCCTGGGTTGGGAAGATCCATTGGAGGGGGAAATGGCCTCCCACTCCAGTATTCTTGCCTAGAGAATCCCATGGACAGAGGAGCCTGGTGGGCTGCAGTTCATAGGGTCACAAAGAGCTGGACGTGATTGAAGTGATTCAGCACACACACATATCTTTATACCCACAGAGAGACTAAGACATTTGGAATTAAGCTTGGAGAGATCCTTTGAGAGAGAAATCAAGCCATAGATCTGGGAGGTCTTTGAGCTCACTCTAGATTAAGCATGCTGCCAGAATCTTCCCAGGATCTCTCGGACAGAAATGTTTGCCTTGCGTAGACACATGTCTCTCTCTCTTTTTTTTTTTTTTTTTGGTAATTGACTTTCAGGAGTGGTGTGGGGTTGATGTGTTTCATTTAAGTTGCTCTTCAGTGTCAAATGCATGGTCAGTGACAGCTATTTAGGAGCTTGCTTGAGCTGGGTCACTCCACTGGGCAGAGGTCACAGCTATAGGAATTGTGGAGGAAGAGAAGGAACTTCCTTTATTAATCTCAAATGTGGTATATTATTTCTCATAATGCAGTAAATACATTCAACTTAGAGATAGCCTTAGTAAACTATTTGGTGTGAGCTTTCAATTTTCAGATAAGGAAATAGAGATCCAGGATGACTTGTCTCAAATTCCACATTAATAATTGATAAAGTCAAGATTATAATTCAGATCACCTTCACTGACGATGTTGATTACAGGTACCAAACTAAAACAGAGGGCTAGGAGACCTTTGCTATCTTATGTGTTCATTACCTGTGCTTCCACTACTATAAGACTGGATAAAGAAACCAAGAATATCATAACTAAAAAAAATTATCCTCCTCACTTTACACTACCATATTTCCCTGATCATGTTACCAATGCCTTCACTGATTTAACAATTTAACATCTGACAATTTGCTGTACATATTACATAAACTGCTTGCAAAATTAAATGACAAATGTGGCAAGATGCAGGACTTTATGATTCTTTCTCAAGATATTTTCTTTCATTCTTAGGTGAGGCTTCTCTAAGCTGACACAATTACAATGCTTACTTTTTAACACTGAGATTCCGAGTTACTATATTTAATATTTCACATTATTCTTACATACTCAGTTTGTGCATTAATAAATTAAGAACAAAGGGAAAATGAAAGACCTCAGATTGTGTGTTAAAACTAGCAAATATTGGGAGAAAGGAAGCTTTCTATATTGCATAATATCAGTAATGGGTTACTCAGAGTAGATATTTTTATATTATAGGAAGATGTTCAAACCAGCAATGTAGGCTAAAAAAATAAAATTGAAAATTAGTCAGGTATATTTCTTCAAAATCTACAAATGTCAAAGTATTCAAATATAAAACTCCTTGACCCCGTTAACAATTTACATGAGAATGAAAAGAGGTGAATATACAGGAGAAGACCTAAGCTCTGGTCCATGGATGGATGGATACACATATATGGTAACTTCACAGCAGAAAAATTTATACCTGAACTGAGGGAAAAGTTTCCCATGTCCTTGACTGGAGATTAGGAGGAACAATCTTATCTAGTTCTTGCTTCATTAGCCATGGTGACACTTCATGGAAAGGGCGAAGGACGGTAATGCTCAGGGCACCTGGGTCACAGAGAGTTATCAGAGGATCATTTCTCTGTCAGAAATACTCTGAGGAATTCGACAAATATTAAACACATTTGATAAGCCAGACAGCGATAATGCTTAAGGACCTTAGGGTCTAATAAGGGAAGATTTTTAGTCAGAGTAACATCTAAAAGCTGGATTTAGACCACTCGAAAGTATTCATCGACACTTCACTGTCCTTCAGAAATCACATGCAAGTCCTGTCAGTTCTACCACGAAACATTTCTTGAGTTCATCCACCTCTTTCCCCCCCACTGACCCAAGCTTAGACTATTTCTCGCAGAGAGATACTGTTTTGGACCTGAGCAGCAATCAACTTTCCTTCCCGCCTCTATTCTGTGAAGGAACCTCCTTCCACAGGCAGTGTGACTGACTATGTTAGTCCGCCATGTAAGCTTTTCTCTCACTTCCCATCGCTCATAGGATAAAACTGAGGCCTTAATGTTTTCTCTTGCCTCCTCAACTTGGGCTATTTTCCCTTCTATACTTTGGCTCCTTTGGCCTTTTCTCCTCTGTTCCCCAAAGTTCCAAGCTTCCTGCTTTGTATTCCCTCTTCCAAGAAAGCTCCTCCTCCTATTTTAATTAGTGCCTACTTATCCAGCAGTTCTTGGCTCCAGCGTTTTCAGGAAAGCCTTCTAGATTATGTCAGGCTCCCCTGTTAGATGCTCTCATGGAACCATATTCCTTTACTCCATAGGCCTTATCCCACTTTATAATCATACAGGTATTTGTGTGACTATGTAATTAATGCCCATCTCTTTCCTTAGACTCTAAGCTTTGTGAAAGCAGGGTTTGTTGCTCTCTTAGCGCACCATTGTATCCCTAACACCCAGCCAGGTTATGGTACATGGTGGGTTATCATGTAGATGCTAAATGACTGACTAATGAAGCAAATTGAGATGAATTCTAATTCTCTCACAGTTCTACACACACACTGTTCAACCAGTCAGAGCTCCCCACTTTCCATATTCATAGAAAAAAAGCAAATTTATTACATCACACACATGTACATTGATGCATTCAAAAATATAACTGCACATAGAGGCAGGCATACTCATAAATGAACACAAAATATATCCCACCAATCAGAGAAAAGATAAAAAAGGAAACACACATATAGACCTAGATAGACATAGCATATTGCTTTGGTGCATGGATAACATGAAAGTTTTTTTGTTTTTTCTGTGCTTAAATACACATGTTACATATACAGTGATTCTTACCTAATGCAATGTATGACTCTATTTTTAGTCATACACTAGTTTCTTTGAAATTAATGAAAATACGTAAATGCCCAATGAATATAATACATAACTTATCCTATATTTCAGGTTGGATTCTAACTGACACATCACATCTACTTTATTCTCTTGTTATACTAAATTCATCAAGGCAACACCATCAAAATGACAAAATATGAAGTTAGGAAATACATCTCACTTTCGATTTTTACTACCAAGACGAAACTAACACATAAGTAGGTACATAACTAAATCCACCTAACAAGCCTACACGCGGATATAAGTCTAGTTATAGGTAGGAAAGGGACTCACACAATTTACACAGGTTGATGCTTAGATAAAGCACAGTACACACATACATCACGGTACAACCAGGCTGACATGGCCAGGTGGAAAGCCGAGTTGAAAAGTGAGCAAGGGGGAAAACATAGAGACCACATCAGGGTAGACTGGATATGGGGGATGAGAGTCGGTAATGGGACATAGCAACTTCCAGTCTGATTCTCTACCTGGTTGTTCCTGAACTGGCTCTTGAAGAACTACGGTAGTTGATTCTCCATATGCCAAGGAGAGGTACTCCTCTATGTCACTGTCCCGAAGAAGCTCCACTCCTGATCCATCAGCATAGATAACAAAAAACCTGTTTGCAGAAATAAAAATCTAATCCCTTGACACATTCAGCTAAAATGCTCCTTAAACTTGGAACTGAAAATAAAAGTCAGGATTTTATTTTGATCATATTACCTGGGGACATGTTCACCATAGATTTGCAGATGATTCTTCTGAAGGTGAGTGGATGACAAACTGTCATAACCTTCAGCTTTTGCATTTAAATCATCTTCCAAGTTGTTTTCAGGTAGGATGGTTGATACACTACCATCAGACATGACCTAAGGGACACAGTATATAAGCAACCAAAAAAAAAAAAAAGCCATAAAGCTTACATTTTTGTTGATCTCATTTGAGAAAGCAGGCAATCTTTCGGATATTCAGAAAATCAAAGATGTTTACTTATAAGGTATTATTCCCTAAGTATTTTGTTGTTATTTGGCCACAAAGTTGTGTCTGACTCTTTCGCAGCCCCATGGACTGTAGCTCACCAGGCTCCTCTGTCCATGGGATTTCCCAGGCAAGAATACTGGAGCAGGTTGCCATTTCTTCCTCCAGGGGATCTTCCCAACCCAGGGATCGAATCCACATCTCCTGTATTGGCAGGTGGATTCTTTACCACTGAGCCACCAGGGAAGCCCCAATAGATTGAATTAATAAAAGTGAAAACCTAGTAGTACATCTTCACTGACAAACTACACCGAGAATGTGAAAACAAACGGGAAGACAAACCAGAATACAATCAGAGGAAGGTGACTAGTATGGCAGGGGACACACCAGGGGATAATCTTATCTTCTGAGGATAAGTTCAGGGAACTGGGAATTTAAACACAGAGGAAAGACTACTCATGTGACAGTTGTCTTGAAATATTAAGAGTGACAATATGGATTCTAAGTACAGAACTAGGAACTCATGGATAGACCACCTTGGGAACCAGATTGAGGTTCACTCTGAGAAGTACATTCCTAGCTATTGCTACTGTCTAGATACAGAGTGTGGTTTAGGCCGAAAGGCCACTGAGGGGAAGGCACAAGAAGAACATCAAAGCCTAGCGTAATGCTTGGCTTAGATATTTCAATTTAGAGGGTTTGGGTTTTAGCTTTTAATTTCAGTTCATTGTTAATCAGTCTCTAAGTAGCCCGAACTCATGCTGTGAAGAGTCTCACTTACACAGAAAAACACAGAAAAACAAACTTGGATCAGGCCTTGTCTGCATCCCATACAAAGTTGGGGACTCTTTGTCAGGGTTTCAAATCTAAAAAGTAACTTCGCCACTCACTAGCCAACATATGAAATTCCACCAAGAAGTGAGAAGTGGAAAAAAAGGGCCTAGAGAAAGGGCTGGTGGACCTCTCCTTGTCAAGGGTCAGATAATATATATTTCAGGGTTTGTAGGCCATACAGTTTCTGTTGCAACTAGTTGATGCTGCCATTATATGCAAAAGCAGCCACAGGTAATATGTAAACAAATGAGCATTGCTATGTTCCAATAAAACTATATAATGACACTGAAATTTAATTTCCTATAATTTTTTTGTGTCATGAAATACTCTTCTCCTGATTTTTCCCAACCATTTAAAAATGTAAAATGCAATCAGCCCACATTTTGAGCTCAAGGGCCCATATAAACAAGTGACCATGGTTTGCCACTGCCTGGCTTAGCAATAAGAGAAAGGACAGAGAAACAGAATACAGAGCTCTACCACTGACTAGCTAAGCACCTCACCAGGCTTCCCACCTCCCCATCCTCAGCCCTCCTGGAACCCTCAGGCTGATAATATTTCTAAGGATTCTCTACCTAGTCAAACAGACTTGCCTGCTGTCCTGTGTATTTTCTCTCACTTAAACCCAGATTCAAACAATTCTTACATTATTCTTCTTTGTCGACATTATTTTTAAGTGTTTAGTAACTTTTCCCCCTTTTGTTCTAATTATTTATTTGGCTTTAACATTTCAATCATCCTCATTATTGGACTTGCTATCCCCTAATGAAGCATAATTGAGAATTAAAGCTACTGACATTAATTGCTGTTGTCCAGAGCACTGACAGTAAGTAGATAACTAATCCCAAGGCAGCTAAGATAAAAAGCTATTGGGGAGCTCTCTAGGGTGAAATATCTCAAAAGCAAACCCATCACCTCTCTCTCCATACTAATGATGCACTTTACCTGAAAGGTATTTCCTTCGGGATCCATGACCTCGCAGATAACCTCTGATGTGTGTTTCATGATGTACCTGCTAGCTCTCAGCTGCTCACGTTTTTGAAAAGGATGGTATATGTCACTGCTTGATTCATGGCAATATATAGCTGAACAATCCCTATCAATATGAAGACAGCCTGTGTTTGGAGGTAACACCTGAAAGGGTCACACAAAAAGAGAAATTATTCAAAATTTCTTGATTGATTTGAGAGATTTAGAAAATCATTTAAGGAAAGAATACTATCCATAGACTCGAGACACAAACTGTATTTTCAGGAAGAAAACAAAAGAGGATGTAAGTTTTGGGAAAGACTACTTAATAAGGAGGCAAACAATGATTAGGATATAATTGTTCCTGCATCCCATATTTTATCTACTCGCTTTAATACTTCTTCCAAGTAATGCAATCTATGTCCCTTCTTTTTTCAGATATTTAATTAAAGTATTAAAAGCATATGTTAAGTAAACACACTTGGCCCTATTCAAAACGTTTGGGATCCTTTAATGTTTTTGGGTAAGGAGCATCTTCAAAGGGGTCAACAGCAATGGGACAAATGCTTTTAGAAGCTTTTATTTTTCCTCATTCCTCTGGTGGCTGACACAGACCTTAAGTAAGAGCTTTTGTATAATGACTTCTGGTTTGGGTAGCCTCTTTGAGATATAATTCACATGCCATATTTTATCCCCTTTAAAGTGTTCATTCAGTGGATTTTAGCATATTAAAAAACTTGTGCAAACATTATCACTAATTCCAGAATATTTTCATTATCCTGCAAAGAAACCCTGATGCCATTAGTCATTTTGCATCTCTCCTGTCTCCGGCAACCAGTGATCTGCTGTCAGACATTTCATAGAAATGGAAGCATGTGATATGTGGCCTCTTGTGTCTGGCTTCTTTCTCTTGGCATAATGTTTTTAAGCTTCATCTATATTGTAGTGTGTATCAATACTTCATTGTTTATTTCCACTTCAGTTTACATGTGTGAAATTTAAAAGTTTTTATGCTAAAATGAACTCAAGTTTTTTTCAATTTAGGTAGTTTGGGGAGATTTGAAACTGAAATCAAGCCTACATTTGCTAAACTGAGGAGTTCAAAGTTCACAAATTCAGCCAGTAAGTCCTCAATTTTCCCATCATTTGACTTGCAGTTGCCCAGGACAAGTTCTCAAATAGCTGCCAGAGTCTGGTTCCTCAGCTTCAGGTAGATCCTTCTCCTCATGGCCATGTTTCTCTCTTCCCCTACTCTTCAAATTTAACTTTCTGTGGCAGGTGGTGGCAAAGGGTTGGGGAGAGGTGTCCCAGCCTTTGCAGCAAGGGCCAACGGAAGGTGTCCACTTGCAGCAGACATATGAAAACCACAATGAGGTATCACCTCACACTGGTCAGAGTGGCCATCATCAAAAAGTCTACAAATAATAGATGCTGGGGAGGGCTGGAGAAAAAGGAACCCCCTACACTGTTGGTGGGAATGTAAATTGGTATGGCCACTATGGGGAACAGTACGGAGGCTCCTTACAAATTACAAATAGAGCTACCATACGACCCTGCACTCCCACTCCTGGGCATATATCCAGAGAAAACATGGGAAAGGATACATACACCCCATAGTTCGATGCAGCACTGTTTACAATAGCCAAGATATGGAAGCAACATGTGTCCATAGAGAAATGGATAAAGAAGATGTGGGACATGTATACAATGGAGATATATATATATATATATTTTTAAAAGAATGAAATATGCCATTTGCAGCAACATGGATGGACCTAGAGATTGTCATACTGAGTGAAGACATACAGAGAGAGATATGATATCACTTAACATGTAGAATCTAAAAAAAAAATGATACAAATAAACTTACAAGACAGAAACAGACTCACAGAGAACAAACTGATGGTTAGCAGGAGGGAAGGGTGGACAGAAGAGGTGGGGAGTTCGGAGCTGGCATGTACACACTGCTATATTTAAAATGGATAGCCAACAAGGACCTAGTGTACAGCACAGCGAACTCTGCTCGACGTTATGTAGCAGCCTGGATGGGAGGGGAGTTTCGGGGAGAATGCCTACATGTATATGTGTGTGGCTGAGGTGCTTTCCTATGCACCTGGAACTATCACAACATTGTTAACTGGCTATACTCCAACATAAAATAAAGAATTTTTTTAAAAAAGATTTGCATTTTCCAGTTTTCTATATGTCTTATGTCTTTGGTTTCCCTTCTAGACATCCATTACTGCCTTCTTTTGTTTTAAATAGGTTATTTTCAAGTGTGCCATTTTAATTCCCTTGTCTCTTTTACTATATATTTTTGAGTTATTTTCTCAGTGTCTCTTGCGTATTACAATTAACATCTTAATTTATAACTGTCTAGATTGGATTGATACTAAGGATTTCACTATTATACACAATTTTTGCTCCATGTAGCTCTTTTCCTTCTTTGTGTTATTGTCAAAACTTACATCTTTATACATTATAAGTACATAAATAAACTTTTATAATAGTGGTTTTAGTGGTTTATAATAGTGGTTTTATGTAGTTGCCTTTTAAACAAAAAAAAGGTCACAAAAATACATGTATACTGTCTTTTATATTCACCTATACTGTTATCTTTACCAGTACTATTTATGTGTAATTGAATTGCTGTGTAGTATTATTTTGTTTCAGCCTGAAGGATTCCCTTTAGATTTTCTTGTAGGGAATGTCTAAGAGCAGCGATTCTTTCAGTTTTTGTTTCCCTGGAACTATATTAATTTCTTTGATTTTAGGATAATTTTATTGAAAAGAGGAATTTTTGGTTGATGATCTTTTTCTTTAAGCATTTTGAATATGTCATCTCACTGCCTTCTGACTCCATGTTTTCTGATGAGAAAATAGCTATTAGTCTTATTGGATACCTCAATTAAAAATTTTTTTATTATGATAAAGATGATTAACAACACTGCTTTGGGGTTTTTCTTTTCTTTTGTTTTTGAGATCTCTCATATTTGATGAGCCTTTTCTCATTGCTTGTGAGACATTGTCTTCAGACAATTTGACTGTGATGTGTCTAGGTGTGAATCTCTGAGTTTATCCTACTTGAAGTTTGTTGAGATTTCTTGCAATTGTAGATAGTTTAATCAAATTTGGTAAGTTTTAAGCCATTATTGCCTCAAATAATCTTTCTGCCCTTCTCTCTATTCCTTCTCAGACTCTCATTATGCATATGTTAGTATGCCTGATGGTATCCTCTGAGGCTCTGTTCATTTTTCTTGGTTCTTTTTTCTCTCTCTCCCCCAGACTACTTAATCTCAACTGACCTATTTTCAAGTCAGTTCAAATAATTGCTGATTATTTCTTCTGCCAGCCAAAATTTGATGTTAAGCCTCATTAGCAAATTTTTCATTACAGTTATTATGCTTTCCAACTGCAGAATTTCTATGTGGTTCTTTTAAAAAATAATTTCTATGTATTGATATTCTATACTTCATGAAGCATCATTCTCATATTTTGCTTTAGTTCTTTACACAAGGCTTCTCGCTCTTTAAAACATAACAGCTGACTTAAATTTGTCTCTTTAAATGCAAAGTCTGGGTTTCCACAGGGATGGTTTCTATTGATTGCTTCCTCTTTTCCCATCCCTGTTTATGGGCCAAAATTCCCCCCTTCCCCACTCCCCCATGTCTTATAATTTTTTGTTGAAAACTGGATATTTTAAAATAGTATTATGTACAACTCTGGAAATTAGATCCTTGCCCGAGGACTTACTGTTACTTCTGTTGTTGTTGCTATTTGTTCAGTGATTCCCCTGAACCATTTCTTTAAAGTTTATATTTGTCATGCGTGGGCCTAATCTGCTTGTTAGGCTTAGAGTTCTCCTCATAACTGGGCAGATATTTTCTTGGGTACTTTGCATTAATAGATCTTTCAGCCTCTGCTGAGGGCTATGTTGGCTCTATGTGCATCCTGACAAATGTTTTCAATGCTGTGGTAGGAAGTTTGTGATTCCACCTTACCCTTGACTCCCTGTTTGTGCAGAGCTTCTGGATCAGCAAGAGTGAAAGATCAGGGCTTTCTGAGTCCTTTTATGGGCATGTTCATAGCTCTTCACAGAAGCATGGCTTTCGAGATTCCAGAGAACATGTCAGAGCTTTTCAAAGCCCTCTATGAACTTCTCATCCTCTTTTTCCTTCTAACTCTTTTGTTTAGCCTCTTGCTTTTTGTCACTACTTCAACAGCTATAGTGTTCAATTATCACCTCCATTTGGGGAAAAGTCTATTTGTAGGGAGTGAGTTCAGAATCAGACCAAATAAAGACAACCCTTGTTGAATAGAGGTTTCTAGAAAATGGACAGACAGACAGAAAATGACAACATTTTGTTATGGATGTTTTGGGGAGCTCTGGATCTATTCTTTTTTCAGTGGCTGCTGGCCTGCTGGTTTTCACTGCTATCATGCATGTGGAGTGTTGATTTTTAAGGCTACCTTGGAGCTGGGGGAGGGGAGAGGAATGCAGCAAGTGAAATCACCACAATTCTTGCTGTTCTTCCCAAGATTGTCTTTTTTTTTTTTTAATAATCTTCATATCACTATAGTCATTTGGTTGATTTCCAGACTTCTGAAAAGGTTGATTCTGTCAATAGTTCCAGCTTTCTAGTTGTTTTTAGAGAGCAGTAAGTGGATTTTTGAAGGTTCTTACTCCATCATCCTGGAAGTTTCTCAGATTCACTCTTTACCATTACCCAGGCCAGAGAACTCTCCCTGGACCTTGGCTAACTCTGAGGCTTCTCTGTGGTTTCAGGCATATTTTAGCATAGACACTGGTGACTAGTTAAATCTGTAATTTTCCCAGGCTCCATAGGTCCTCAATAAAATAGACTCAAAGTGTCAGTTCAGTTCAGTTCAGTTGCTCAGTAGTGTCCGAGTCTTTGCAACCCTATGGACTGCAGCATGCCAGGCTTCCCTGCCCATCACCAACTCCTGGAGCTTGCTCAAACTCATGTCTATCGAGTCAATGATGCCATCCAACCATCTTGTCCTCTGTCGTCCCCTTCTCCTCCTGCCCCCAATCCCTCCCAGCGTCAGGGTCTTTTCAAATGAGTCAGTTCTTCACATCAGGTGGCCAAAGTATTGGAACTTCAGCTTCAGCATCAATCCTTCCAATGAATATTCAGGACTGATTTTCCTTAGGATTGACTGGTTGGATCTCCTTGCAGTCCAAGGGACTCTCAAGAGTCTTCTCCAACACCACAGTTCAAAAGCATTAATTCTTCAGTGCTCAGTTTTCTTCATGGTCCCACTCTCACATCCATACATGACTCCTGGAAAAACCATATCTTTGACTAGGTGGACCTCTGTCGACAAAGCAATGTCTCTGCTTTTTAATATGTCAGATTGACTGTAATTTACTAAAAGCTGCTCTGGACAGAAAAAGATCGCCTAAAATTTCCAGAATTGAGACATATACACTAGGTGAAGCACCATCTAGAAATGCCAAAAAGAAAACCTGTAAAAAAGAGATGGCTTTCCTTCTAGGAAGTTAGCCTGGAAAAACAGCTTTGCTGAAACATATAAATTCAACATGACAAATACAGCAGTAACTCATATATATACGTACATAGTGTCTTCAATAGAGCAGCCAGCTGGCAAATAGAATTTGCATGATTTTGCATACCTATATTGCTCAGAGTTTAATATAAAATTTTCCTCTTTTAACTGATTTCACGCACTGAGTAGAGGATAAGCCTCCCTCCATTATGACATTTGTTTATGGTACTGCTGATAAGGAAAAGGGCCTTTGAAGTCCTTTTCAGTAGTATTCCTAAGAGTGCTTATTACATTTCTTTAACTTCTCCCAAAGGAGTCAAGTTCAGATTGGTATAGATGAGTAGTTAAAATCTTATTCCAGTGTGCATGTGTACACCCCTTTCCCCAGGAAGACACTCAATCTTCTGGTCTAGGGAAACAGGTTTCTGTTCCTAGACCCAAGAACAGAGGAAGATTTCCCATGGGAGACAACAGACCCATTATTTGTCATCTTGTCTCTCTGAAACCTTCCAACTGGGTGGATGTCCCCACCCCCAGCTGTGAAACACTATAATCATAGACAATAATAGCTGTTACACCTACCTCCTCCTTGATGTTTTCATTAATCTTTTTAGTGCTGCTAAGGTATAGCAGTGGCCAAAATCAAGCTCTCTCTCTTTCACATTGCCTAATATCCAGCCTCACTCGTCACACTGCCCAGTGTCCTCATGCTGGTGAGTAAGTAATGACACACGTGCCAAGGCCAATGAGGATGGGCAGAAGGTGTTTGTGAATGCCAGCTTTCAACTCTATAAAATTAATAGAACTATAAAATAAGTGTTGCTAAGCTTATTTGGAGTTTCTTCCCCCAATTGGGAGCTAAGATATGTGTGTTTCTCAATGAGGTGCAATCAATGTTTCAGGAGATGTGGGCAAACATGTGGCTACACAGCTATATCAGAACACTGAATGTCTCCAGGTTGCATCTCTTTTCTATTACATCTCTTCCTTCAGTGGTAACTTACATTGGTGCTAAGATTTCTTTGCCTCTATAGTTGTAACCAGCAGAGTCTAGGGCTATGATGACAATAAGGCCTCATCATAGCATCTTTGGAGATTCTTATGACATCTGGTAGGACACGCAGTACTGAAATATGGATGCTTTCTTAAAAATTGAGCATTCTGATAGCACAGGAACTCTGCTAAATGTTATGTGGCAGCCTGGATGGGAGGAGAGTTTGAGGGAGAAAGGATGCATGTATATGTAAGGTTGAGTCTCTTCTCTGTTCACCTGAAACCATCACAACATTGTTAATCAGCTATACCTCAATACAAAATAAAAAAGTTTTTTTTTTAATTGGATATTCTGAATGTTATATAGGGAAAAAAGCATCCATGACCAAGCCTCTTTTGGTCATCTCTCACTTTCAGCACCTTGCTTGTCCCACAAGGATCTGCACAGTACGAGAGGGAGAATCAGGAGAGAAGGGAGGGATAAACTGGCTCCAGTAGCCTTCACAGTAACAAACATTTGTTACGGAAGTCTTTGTCCATCACCTTCTGGCTTTGCACCTTTGGTATCCTGTGACCTTAGAGGTGACATCCTGGCACTTGTGTCCCTTCGCCAGAAAGTAGAAAGGCAAAGGCAAATCCCTCTAAGACTGGGGGACTGCAGGCTGAGCCAGGGGCATTGTGTTTAAGGGGGAAATGCAAGGAGGTGGAGGAGTTGCTAACAGCATTCCTCCCCAGCCCTCCAAAGACACAGCTGTGCTTCACTTGGGCTAGTTCTCCTCCGAGACCACATAGAACGCATGTGTCCTCCCATCCTGTGGGGACACGAGGTAAAGTGGGGACAGACTGGAGGTGGGAAGGGTGGGAGAGTGAGAATGAGTAAGAGGAGGCAGGAGGTGAAGCTGGTCTGGAAGGGACAGGGCAGCACTGAGGGCTCCTAACACCCACAGCGCCTCTCACCCACCACTAAATGATCCCCGGCAAATACACTCCGGAGCATAACTGTGATCCCCAGATCCCAAAGTACTGAAAGGCAGGGAGGACACTGATTTTCTGCGATGGACTTTGAAAAGAAAGTAAATAAATGAAAAGATATTGAGGAGTGTGTTCTAAGATCAGTTGAGATGAGAGCAACAGCCATGCACGTGGTGGGAATGTTCACTGCCCCAGATGGGAGTGCTTTCCCAAAAGTCAGAAACACACTTTGACACTCCCCTTTGGCACCGCTCACTTTGCTCAGACTCACCTGGTACGTTCCCTGTGGCTTTGCGATGATGGACGTCCCGTCCCCAAAGGTGGCACAGCAGCTGCTGTCCTCGCAGTTGGTGATGACAGTGGCGTAGTGCGAGCTTTCAATCCGCATGCACTTCACCTGCCTGGTGATCCTCTGGGGACCTTCGGATGTGGGCAAATGCAGAGGGGCAGGTCTGACAGGATGCACGCGAGGGGAACATGCCTGCCTGCTGACTGCTTGGCTGAGAACTCACTCCATGGGGCTGCTTCATGGGCTACTGCTCTATCAACTCGGAGCCTTTGTTTGAGAAGGCATATTAATATAATGTGCTATTTTTGTCCTCACCGTTCTTTTTATTTTGAGAAATTGAAAACATCCAGAAAAGCACAAAATATAATTTAACTATACATGTTTGCCAATCAAAATTTACACTCATTAATATTTTGCCATATTTGCTTCATTTTTAACATGTACATGAGAGAGAAGTTACAGGTAAAGTTCACATCTCTCCCTATCTCTGAGTTTATTTCTTTTTCTCACAATCCACTATAATACTTTTATATAAATGTATATCAGAAATATTTTATTGCTTTAAATTTACCTAAGTTATATATCACCTTGTGTTTCACACTACTGGGCTTCCCTGGTGGCCCAGACAATAAAGAATCTGCCTGCAATGCAGGAGGCCTGGGTTTGATCCCTGGGTCAGGAAAATTCCCTGGAGATGGGAATGGCTACCCACTCCAGTATTCTTGCCTGGAGAATTTCATGGACAGAGGAGCCTAGTGGGCTACAGCCCATGGGGTCGCAAAAGAATCGAAAATGACTGAACTGACACACACTTGAATTTTTCACTTAATGCTTTGAGGCCTTTAGCCATCTTGATATATATGTGCCTATGTAAATAGGTACATGTGTGGGTACTTCATTTATTTTAATTGCTACATAGTATCCCTTTGTAAGAATAAACCACATTTTATTTTTCTGTTCTGCTGTTAATGGACATTTATGCTTTCCCAATATTTTAGCATTATACTCAGTGTTGCAAGAAGCATCTCTGTACTTGTTTCTTTGTGCAAATGTATGAGTGTCTAAAGGAAAAAGCTTTGAAAGCTATCCCAGGAAAATTAGAATGGACATTTCTCTAGTGGGGAATTGACTTGCAGGGATATTTCCCAACCCATCCCCTATAACCCAATAAAAATAAAGACAAAACAAAAGAGTATCTTTCTATATATACCCAGGTGGAGAATTAGTGTATCGCATGATATGCACTTTTCAATTCACCAGATATTTAAAAATTGCCCACCCAAGTGGCTTTTTAAGTTTTCACTCTAACAGGGTATAAAGGTTCCTCTCTTTCAACTCACTTGCCATTTTGTTGCATTTAATTTGGCAATGAATCAGTTAATGCATTCAACAAATAAACCCTAGAATTAAGCAAAAGTGAATCAGGGAATAATTTTTATTTCAAAATCTTGTTTAAATTTAGCTTAGGAAGGGTGTTAGGCTTTTAGATAATATGAACAGACTCCAGTTCATTAGCAGCTGCCACTTGCTTTTCTGAGAACTGTCAGACAGAATTGAAGGAGGACATATCTGAGGTCTATGTAGGAAAATTAGATTCCTTAAGGATCAAAGGAAACAGGTCTGAAATCTAATTGCTCAGTACAGTTGAGTCGTGATTATTAACTTTTAGTTAATACCAATCCAGGTTGTAGATTTTTAGTGGTAAAAATAGGGAAAGCACTATTACTATCCATTAGCCAACTAGAGCTGTTATCACTCCCATGTCAGCTGAGGATAAAGACCATAATAAAGGTCCTCACTGGTTCTGGTTTAACTGCCTGGGTATTCTTTGGTTAACTTGAGGTCTTAAAAAAAAAACAAAACCTGCTTTTCTTACAAGTGTTTTGAAAAATCAGTGAAGTTTTTACCTATCCTATAGTAAAGACATAGAATATTGTCATCTACTTGACAAAGAATAAATACACGTATATGTACAACTGGGTCACTTTGCCATGCACCTGAAACACAATAATATTAACCAACCGTCTGCTGCTGCTGCTCAGTCGTGTCAAACTCTTTGAGACTCTATGTCGTCCGCCAGAAAAATTAAAGCTTACCTGTCTCTTGATCCTCCGAAGAAATAGTCGGATCTTCATAAACTTGATAAAAGGTTGTGATTCTGGTACCATCAGCATGATCCACTATCCGAGTACCATCTTTCTTTTCAACGATGATCACTTTGTCTTCTCGAGTTGTCATAACCTGAACATACAAAGGCAGAGCATCATCATTTGCTCAGGTGGCTGGTTAGTCCCAAGTTTGCTTATTTTTACACCCCAGTGATTACCATCAAAGCCCGATTACTTAAAAGTGAAAGTTTTATCTCATCTACTTGATCTAATCTTTATAACAATCCTGGAGGAAACTCAGGCTTAGAGCAGTTAAGTAACTTGCCCAAAGTCACTCAGCATGTGCCAGAGCTGATGCTGGACTAAGACTGCCTTACTTCAACACTGATGCTCTTTCCATGGTCACACATTTGTGAGTCAAAAGCTAATGTCAGGAGTGATCTGACCCAGGTATATGCAGGAAGATGACCCCAGGCCCTTCTCCCTTGGAAACTGCAGGTTTAAGATAAGCCAGGGACCACTGGTGTCTGTAGTGAGGGTTCTGATGTGGTCTGCTTCCCCTGAGGATGCAATGCCAGAACCTGGATATTGTGTGTTGGTACGGGGAACTATGGGGTGAAAGGTTGGTACAGGGAAGCATGGATGAAAGGTGTGCTGGACACAAGAGAACTCAGAGACCAATGGGCAGAGAGGTGGGAGCAAGGCTAGAAGGTGAGGGACCATACTGGGAAGCTTGTTAAGTCATATTAAGGACTCAGTTGTTATCCAAAGGGGGGCGAAGCGGTAGAGAAGTTTTAGGTATGTGGACTAGAGCTGGAAACACAGAAAGAATTTAGTCCCAGTAAGTGCTTCAATTTGAAAGAACACTGAGACCTTTGTTTCCTGTAGCCAAATGGTTCAGAGGAGCTCTAAAGCCCCAGCTGCACATGTGTGTGTGAAGGTGTGGTGGGCATGGAGATGCATTGCCCAGGTCTCTCTTCAAGACAGGACTTGCTCCCCAGCAGTGGAGAGGGAAGTTGGCAAACAGCCTCCAGATGTCAGCTCTTCCAGCGCCTGCCTCAACTGCAGAGAGATGCCTTGCCTGACTCCCATTGTTCTGCTGAGGCAGAGGTACACGGATCTGGCTCCTGCTCCCCGACTTGGGACACTGGGACGGATGACACTGGCCCCTGAGCTCCTGCCAGTGGGGCTTTGGGGTGCCTGCACCATAGCTCGGCTTCTCTCTCTGCCCATTCCTGCCTCCCCCCTGCTTCCTTTCACAAATGGGGTCTCTTAAAAACATCTTGTACACTGCAGATCCCAACTGGCAACAATGCACTACAGTTGTACAATGCATATTATAGGCAAAAGGAAAGGAGGGCGGCAGAGGATGAGATGGTTGGGTGGCATCACCAACTCAATGGACGTGAGTTTGAGCAAACTCCAGGAGATAGTGAAGGACAGGGAAGCCTGGTGTGCTGTAGCCCATGGGGTCACCAAGAGTCGGACATGACTTAGCGACTGAACAACAACAATGCATATTTTAAAATCATTGAGTACTTTCTACCTTGTACTGCCCCAACTGTAAGGGACACAGTTTTCACTAAAGAGTCCAGATGAATATGAAGTTTGCTAGCTGTTTTCTGACTCGTGTCTAGGGCTTTTGGGAGAAGATGATAATTACATTTGTATCTTTTTATGGTAGGCAGAAAACAATATATTTCAGAGAGAAGTCCATGCTAATCATTAAGTTCTTCTCTTTCACACTCTCAGCCAATGATACAGATGTGTATATCTATATATATCCATCTATATATCCATCCATCTATGTATGTAATGAGGAATACTGCTGTAGAATGCAGGATTGAGAACATGAGCTTTGGAGTTAAGCTGCCCAAGTTCAATTTCTGACTCCACAGGTCATTTAGGCAAGCTGCTTACTTTCTCTGTGTTCTAGTTTCCCGATCTGCGAAATGCAGCCAACATCAACATATTTTTCAGAGACATTATATGGGTTAAATGAGAGAATTCTTGTAAAGCCATTCACATTTAATTGGTCAAGTTAGTAATGCTAAATACTAGCTCTTTATCTAGTATAGAAATTTACAGATTATAACTTAGAACAATTCTAACATTTCATGACGTAACATTGATGGTCACCATAGGCTCAGGAAATAATCATTTTTAGTGGTAGAAAGAACACAACAGCAAGAATATTTCCTTAATACCTGATAGTGTTAATCTGGTATTAATCTTCCCAAGTATTTTAGGTAATGACCATAATCTTCATTTTTAAGAAAACCTAGATTAGAAATAGTCAAAGTCATGCATCTTGTAAGAAGCGTGACTGGGGTTCAAAGCCATGGCTGCCTCACTGCAAGGTTAGTGCCACTCCTGTAAAATGTGATACTTCATGTCCCTTTTGATCTTATTTCATATGATCATTGGCTTTTGTTTGCATAATGGTTAAGCATATGCGACCTAGAATGCAACCTTGGGGTCCACATTCTGAATATACCATTTGCTGAGTGAGTTTGGAAAATTTATTTAGCCTGTTTGTAGCTTCTTTGTCTCATATGTAAAATGGAAACAGCAATAGTTTCTTGTGAGAATTAGATAAGTTATGTGTGGAAAGCACTCAACAAGGCCTGGGACAGTGAGTGCTCAGTAAATATTATTACCATTGTTGTGATTAGACTATTGAGTGTCTATGTTTAAATCCAGGCTTCTAAATGTCGATTTGTGCTTCCATAATGGTCCTAGGTATCAGTAAAGGAAGGGGCTTCCCTGGTGGCTCAGTGGAAAAGAGTCTGCCTGCCAATGCAGGAGACCTGGGTTCAATTCCTGGGTCAGGAAGATCCCTTGGGGAAGAAAATAGCAACCCACTCCAGTATTCTTGCCTGGGAAATACCATGGACAGAGGAGTCTGGCAGGCTACAATCCATGGGGTAGCAAAGAATTGGACATGACTTAGTTACTTAACCACCACTGCCGCCAGTAAAAGAAAGTAAGGGTCATTAACTAAGAAATATCAAATTTGCATATTAAGCCAAATAATCTGTATTGAGGCTCAATTAAAGTGAGCTATTTTAAGTGACCAAAAGCCATCCTGAGATAATATGTAGTTTGATCTCATAAAAAAGAACTAGCAAACAAGGTAGAAGAATATGAAATTGTTACAGAAGTAGGCTGAAGAGGAAAGGAAAACACGTTTGGTAAGAAAATGAAATTTATCTCAGTGGCAAGCAGACATTCTGCTTCTGACTAGAAGTATGTGGTTGTAAACAAAGGTAAAGTCCAAAAACTAGAGACAAGGCATTCAGGAAATTCTTTGTCTTGTTTAGATTTAGAGGGTGCAAAGCTCCATGTGAGATGATAGAGGAACAGCTGAAGAATGCAGACAGCCCAGTTTTTAGTCACCAATCGCTGACTGCAAACCTGGTTCCAACACTTCCTGGCCACATTACTTCATTTGCTGAGGCTCACCTTCCTTGTCTGTATAATATACATTGGTGTATGCAATAGAGCGTGTATGCAAGATGGCTAACAGAAAGCCTGGCCCACAGAAAATGCTATTGTGCATCCCAGGAGTTTAAATTTCACATCTGCTTCACAGATAAAACCATTGTTTTCTATACCACTCATATATCACTTTTTCTTAGGTTATAAATAAAATCTTTTTATAGAGGCTTTGCGGCCTTGTTGAATTTTTGAGTTATTTGATATGAGCATCTCATTAAATATACTGTACATTATTTGAAGTCAAGGATCATGAACAAATTTCTACAATTCATGTCAGGTACACACGAGAAGTAGACACAAGGCAGAGCCCCACATGTCTAGAATATAAGACATACAGACAAACGCATTTAACATAAAGAAATATAGGATATCACTAATCTTATGTCTTAAAAGTAGAATAGAAAATTCATCATCTGTCTCTTACTTCAGGAATTAGTATTTCATGATACATTACTCTGGTCAAATAAACCACACAGTAGTTTTAGATTTGGAAAGATGAATCCATCTATTTATACATAAGTCAGCTACTTAACAGATAGTTATTGAAAATTTATTATTTGCCAGGCATTCTTCCACATGTTGTTTTACAACTCTAACGATTTAGAAAAATTTGTAATATACAATAGTTTGTCATACCGTTCCATTGACAGGATCTGTGGCTTTAAAGGATAAAAACGGGGCCAAGTCTGCTATTCTTTCTAATCCTTTGGTGCCAATCCGATTTCCTTGAGGTGTAGTTGTAAACCAGGTGCCTAAGTGAACATCCATAGGAGTTATTGTTTGAACTGTTTCTGGGGGAGGTTCATGGCTTTCATTTTTATGTGCCATAGATGACTGATTTTTCTGAATTTTTCCTGCGGGAGTTCAAGTAAATCAAATACAACAGTTTAACTATAATATCACTTACATAGAATTATTCATTAAGTTTTAATACAGTGTAGGCTACCTCAGACACTGTTGCACAGAAAATCCAAGTGGTGGTCATCAGTTATATTATTTCTCAAGTAGGAAAAAAATCAGTTTATGAATATCTTATTATTGGCACTTGAACCTTGTCTGGATTCCCATCACCTCCCACAAATATACACATGCATAGAAAGCTCACTGTCTATGGAGCAATACACATTATCATCAATTCTCTACACTTTTAAGTCTTGCTTACCTCTCCCCAGATTCCAGGTTTGGAGCCCTGTACCCAGCTTTTTAAAGTCTACATTTTCTCCCATGTATCTGCCAAGCTTTCAGATTCTTTTTCTTTGACTTATTATACTCTAGTATGATAGAGTATAATTTTAACTCTTATTTCCCCTAATTTCGTCATAGCTCAGTTCCAGGAAACATCTCTCTTCAGCCCTGGATCTGGAGAACATTACCAATCAAGCATATCATTGGCCTCTCACATGGAGAGGATTTGTCCAGTTTAATTACTACACTTAAAACCATCTGATACACACATCCCTCTCAACCCCTACCCACCACCATTCAATTGGAATAAGAAGACAGAACCAAAGAAACTCACATGGAACCCTGTAAATATTATCTTTATCGCTATCTATAATCTCTATCTCTATCTCTTTTAGTTCCCCTACCAAGGTAGATTTACTCTACTTGTATAAGTAACAAGTAATCTGTAGACAAGATCTGCCTGTATTGTCAAGTCTCAGTGATGAAGTAAATTCAGACTGAGAAAAAAAAATTGCAAAAAAGATAGTGAAGGATTGTTGTCTCCAGGGAGGTTGTTTAGATTTAGACCATGAAATGTGCAACAGGGCGTGGATCTTGGTGTAAGATGTGGACTCAACTAACAGGGGGAACAAAAGAAGAAAGATACATTTAGCTAAGCCTTCCATTACCCTAAGACTTAAATTGGACATATTAGTATTTCCAGAGGACTAAAAGAGAACTGAAAGATAGACATGTAGAAATTATTTAGAATGAAACTCAAAGAGCCAATGTAACAGAAGCAATGAAAGAGAGGTAAAAGTTCTCTAACATAAGTTTAATTGGAATTACAGAAGAAGAGGAGAGAGAAATGGATCAGAAACAATACTTTAAAAAGATAATTATTCAGAAAGTTCCAGAACCAATGAAACATACTAATCTACATATTCAAGAAGCTCAATATAGTCTCATTTGGGTAAATAAAAAGAAACTGATACCACTGCAGATGGTGACTGCAGCCATGGAATTAAAAGACGTTTACTCCTTGGAAGGAAAGTTATGACCAACCTAGACAGCATATTAGAAAGCAGAGACATTACTTTGTCAACAAATGTCTGTCTACTCAGGGCTATGGTTTTTCCAGTAGTCATGTATGGATGTGAGAGTTGCGCTGAAGAATTGATGCTTTTGAACTGTGGTGTTGAAGACTCTTGAGAGTCCCTTGGACTGCAAGAATATCCAACCAGTCCATCGTAAAGGAGATCAGTCCTGGTTGTTCATTGGAAGGACTGATGCTGAAACTGAAACTCCAATACTTTGGCCACCTCATGCAAAGAGCTGACTCATTGGAAAAGACCCTGATGCTTGGAAAGATTGAAGGCAGGAGGAGAAGGGGATGACAGAGGATGAGATGGTTAGATGGCATCACAGACTCAACGGACATGAGTTTGGGTAAACTCCGGGAGTTGGTGATGGACAGGGAGGCCTGGCGTGCTGCGGTTCATGGGGTTGCAAAGAGTCAGACATGACTGAGTGGCTGAACTGAACTGAACTGATACCTAGTTAAATCATATTGACACTGCATTAAAAAAGAAAATATTTTAAAGGCAGCCAGATTATCTTCTAAGCAACAAGAATTAGATAGATAGACAACTTTTCAACAGTAAAAGTGAATGTAAGACTAGTATGAAGAATTATTGTCCACATCAGTCAGTTCAGTCACTCAGTGCTACTGGAAAAACTATAGCTTTGACTTAAGATGGACCTCTGTCAGCAAAGGAATGTCTCTGCTTTTTAATATGCTATCTAGGTTGGTCATAGCTTTTCTTCCAAGGAGCAAATGTCTTTTAATTTCATGGCTGCAGTCACCATCTACAGTGATTTTGGAGCCTCAAAAATAAAGTTTCTCACTGTTTCTATTGTTCCTCCATCTATTTGCCATGAAGTGATGAGACTGGATGCCATGATTTTAGTTTTTTGAATGCTGAATTTTAAGCCAGCTTTTTCACTCTCCTCTTTTACTTTCATCAAGAGACTCTTCAGTTCTTTATTGTCCACATACTAAGAGGAAATACCTGTCAGTCTATAATTCTATACCTAGTGAAATTATCTTTCAAGAATGTTGTTGTTTAGTTGCTAAGTCATGTCCGACTCTTTTGCCACCCCATGATCTTCAGTCCACCAGGTTCTTCTGCCCATGAGATTTCCCAGGAAAGAATACTAGAGTGGGTTGCCATTTCCTTCTCTCAGGGATCTTCCTGAATCAGGGATCCAACTTGTGTCTCCTGCATTGGCAGGATTCTTTACCACTGAGTAGCATAGAAAGCCCCTTTAAGAATGAGGACAACATATAGATATTTTCAGAAATATGGCATGCAATAAGTAGCCTAAAATCTCCGGTTAAAACACAGAATTATCTAATTTTAAAATATACACCTACGTGAGTTTGAGAAAACTCTGGGAGTTGGTGATAGACAAGGAAGTCTGGCATGCTGCAGTCCATGGGGTCGCAAAGAGCCAGACATGACTGAGTGACTGACTGATATTTATGCTCACAAGGGGGCTTCCCAGGTGGTTCAGTGATAAAGAATCCACCTGCCAGTGCAGGAATTGCATAAGATGGGGGTTCATTTTCTTGGTCAGGAAGATCCCCTGAAAGAGGAAATGGTAACGCACTCCAGTATTCTTGATAGGATAATCCAATGGACAGAAGAGCCTGGGTGGATTACACTTCATGGGATTGCAAAGAGTCAGACATGAATGAAGCAAGTGAACACACACGCACACTGATCACAGAGACATTTTTAAACATAAACCACAGAAAGTAAAATAAAGTATGGAAAAAGTTATACTGGGAAAGTACTAAACAATAGCTGGTGTAGCTATAATAAAATCAGTATTAGGGCAAAAAACAGAATCCTAGAATAAAAAGTCATGTATACTGATAAAATGTTAAATTGCTCATAAAGATAAAGCAGTTCTAAATTTGTAAGTATCAAAAATCATATTTCAAAATATACAAAAGCAAATCTGAAAACAATGAAAGGACTTAATTATTTCAGATTTAAAGAAATAAGGATTAAATGATAAGGAGTGAAGAAGCTATTCTACCCTTTCAAGAACTTTAAATATACTTCTACTGAATAAATTGCCATTGTACATTAAAAAGACTGTAAGGATATAGAATAAAAATGGTCAAAGTTTGAATATGGGGTAAATATGGCCTATTGTCTGTTTCTGTATAGTCTGTGAACTAATAATTCTTTGTACATTTCTACATAATTTAAAAAAAAAAGGATATTAAATTTATAATGCTGTGTTGGTTTCCACCATTCAAAAATGCAAATTCACCATAATTACACATGTATCATCTCCCTCTTGAGCCTCCCTCCCCTCCCCCGACTCCACCCCTTTGGGTCATCACAGAGCATCAGGCTGAGCTCCCTGTATTATATAACAACTTCGTACCAGCTATCTTGGTAGTGCATATAGCTGATGCTAATTTCTCCCACTATTTCATCCCACTCTTTCCTTCACCCACTGTGCCCACAAGTCCATTCTCTCAATATATCTGCATCTCCATTCCTCCCCTGCAAATAGGCTCATCAATACCATTTTTCTAGATTCCAATGTGTATGTTAATATACAATATTTGTTTTTCTCTTTCTGACTTACTTCACTCTGTAAAATAGGTTCTAAGTTCACCCATCTCACTAGAACAGACTCAAATTTGTTTTTTTTTATGGCTAGTAATATTCCATTATAAATATATATATATATATATATATATATATATATATATATATATACACACCACATCTTCTTTATCCAGTCATCTGTTGATGGACATCTAGGTTACTTCCATGTCCTAGCTACTGTAAACAGTGCTGCTATGAACACTGGGGTACATGTGTCTTTTTCAATTATGGTTTTCTCAGAGTGAATGATCAGTAGTGGGATTGTTGGGTTATATGGTAGCTTTATTCCTCATTTTTAAAGGAATCTCCACACTGTTCTCCATAGTGGCTGTTTCCATTTACATTCTCACCAACAATGAAAGAGGGTTCCCTTTTCTCCACATCCTTTCCAGCATTTATTATTTGTGGATTTTTTTGATGATGGCCATTCTGACTGGTGTGAGATGATATCTCATTGTAGTTTTAATTTGCATTTCTCTAATAATTAGTGAGGCTTCCCCAGTGGCTCAGCAGGTAAAGAATTTGCCTGCAATGGAGGGGACACAGGAGACATGGGTTTGATCCCTGAGTTGGGAAGATCACCTGGAGGAGGAAATGGCAACCCCACTCCAGCATTCTTGCCTAGAGAATCCCATGGACAGAGGAGCCTGGTGGGCTATCGTCCATAGGGTCACAAAGAGTCAGACATGACTGAAGCAACTTAATGAGCATGCATGTACTCTGCATATAAGTTAAATAAGCAGGATGACAATATACAGCCTTGTCATACTCCCTCCCCAATTTTGAACCAGTTTGAATTTTGAACCAGATCATTCCATGTCTGGTTCTAACTATTGCTTCTTGACCCACATGAAGCTTTCTCAGTGGACAGGTAAAGTGGTCTGGTATTCCCAACTCTGTAAGAATTTTCCAGTTTGTTGTGATCCACACAGTCAAAGGCTTTCGCACAGTCAATGAAGCAGAAGTCGATGTTTTTCTGGAACTCCCTTGCTTTC